CATTAGTCCAATCACGTGGGACTTCAGGAAGCTTACCATGAAATTTATCTACAATCAACGCAAGGTGGTTTTACATGGTATATCTGAAGGTTCAGTGCATAGTGTGAAAGCAGAGAAACTGAACAAAAGGCAAGCTGAGGATATGCAAATATCAATGATATGTGTAAGACAAGAAGAAGAGTTGACAGAAGCTGCATTATTCTCAATTGACACAGTTCCCACAGAGACTATGTTATGCACTCCGGTGGAAGAATTAGTGAATGAATATGCGGACATATTTGAAGAACCAACTGGTTTACCACCTTTTCGTACGAATCATGATCACAAGATCCAGTTGATGGAAGGTGCTAACCCAATCAACCAGAGGCCATATTGATACGCGATTCATCAAAAGAATGAAATCGATAAAATGGTGCAGGAACTTCTCAAAAATGGTACCATTCAACCTAGTGCAAGCTCCTTTGCATCACCAGTCATATTGGTTAAGAAAAAGGATGGGTCATGGAGATTATGTGTAGACTACAGAGGTTTAAACAACCTAACAGTCAAAGACAGGTTTCCTATACAACTGATCGAAGATCTGATGGACGAGTTAGGGGGGTCAACAATATATTCAAAGATCAATCTCAGGGCAGGTTATCATCAGGTGCGAATGTGTCCTGCGGATATACACAAGACGGCATTTAAAACTCATAGCGGTCATTTTGAATATATTGTCATGCCATTTGGACTTACAAACGCCCCAGCCACATTTCAAGGATTGATGAATTCAGTCTTTAAAGAGTTTTTGAGGAAGTTTGTTTTGATATTCTTTGATGACATTCTCATCTATAGCAGTACAGTGGAGGCACATGTACAACATCTGCGGTGTGTATTTGAAGAGATGAGAACTCAGAAACTATTTGCAAAAAAGAGTAAATGTGCGGTTGCAACAAGGAAAGTGGAATATTTAGGCCACTTTATTGAGGCCAAAGGTGTGTCTACCGAACCAGCAAAAGTACAAGCTGTAGCAGAATGGCCGAAACCAACAAATTTGAAACAGCTAAGAGGATTTCTGGGGTTAGCTGGATATTATAAAAGATTTGTTAAGAGCTTTGGTGTTATCGCAAGACCCTTGACCTTACTGACAAAAAAGGATTCTTTTATATGGTGTGATGAAGCTCAAGCAGCATTTGAAGCATTGAAGTCGGCTTTATGTACTGCTCCAGTGTTGGCTTTACCCTTATTTGATAAGCCATTCGTTGTTGAAACAGACGCATGTGGAACGGGCATCGGTGCAGTACTTATGCAAGATGGTCATCCCTTGGCCTATATCAGTCGCCTTTTAAAGGGTAAACAACTTCATCTCTCCATCTATGAGAAAGAATTGTTGGCCGTGGTGTTTGCAGTTCAAAAATGGCGACACTATCTGTTGCATAGTCATTTTGTCATCAAAACAGATCAACGGAGCCTCAAATATTTGCTAGAGCAACGGTTAAATACACCGATCCAACAGCAATGGCTCCCAAAGTTGTTGGAATTTGACTATGAAATTCAGTATAAGGAGGGGAAGGAAAACTTGGTGGCTGATGCATTGTCGCGTGTTGAGGGTTCTGAAATTCTGCATATGGCTCTTTCTGTTATGGAGTGTGATCTAATGAAACAAATTCAGAACGGGTATGAAACTGATGGAGTATTGAGGGATATTATAGAAGCAGTAAAGGCTAACCCGGGTTCTAAGAAACACTATGTCTGGTCTCGTGAAGTGTTAAGAAGAAAAACGAAACTGGTGGTTCCAAATGATCCAGCCCTACGCCAATCAATATTGGAGTGGTTACATTGTTCTGGTATAGGAGGTCATTCTGGACGAGATGCAACTCATCAACGAGTTAAAGGAATTTTCTATTGGAAGGGTATGTCTAAAGATATTCAGGCATTCATACGCAGTTGCTCAGTGTGTCAGCAATGCAAGTATGATACTTCAGCTTACCCTGGATTGATCCAACCCTTACCAATTCCTACGACGATGTGGTTGGAAATTTCTATGGACTTTATTGAAGGGCTTCCGAATTCATTTGGAAAATCTGTCATCTATGTAGTGGTCGATCGTCCGACAAAAGCTGCACATTTCATGGCTATCAAACATCCGTACACAGCTACAACGGTTGCACAAGTTTTCCTTGACAACGTTTTCAAGTTGCACGGCCTTCCTACGTCAATAGTAAGTGACCGAGATGCAGTATTCTTAAGTGAGTTTTGGCGAGAACTCTTCACTCTGCAAGGAGTTGCTCTGAACTATTCCAGTGCTTATCACCCACAGAGTGATGGGCAAACAGAAGTTGTGAATCGATGTGTTGAAACTTACTTAAGATGTATGACGAGTGATCGACCACATTTATGGAGTAAGTGGTTTCCGTTAGCAGAATACTGGTATAATACGAGCTTCCATACATCAGCTCAAATGACTCCATATGAAGCTATGTATGGTCAGTTACCTCCGCAACATTTACCGTATGTACCAGGAAAATCACGAGTTGCTATGGTTGCTCAGAATTTACAGGATCGTGAGAATATGCTGTTGATCCTGAAATTTCACTTACTAAGGGCTCAGCATAGGATGGAACAAGGGGCTAATAGAAGACGTTCAGAAAGAAGTTTCAGTGTTGATGATCTTGTTTATGTGAAACTTCAACCCTATCGTCAAGGATCTATAGTACTTCGAGTGAACCAAAAACTTGCTCCGAAGTATTATGGACCATTCAAAGTGTTGGAGAAATGTGGGAAAGTGGCTTATAAGTTGGAACTTCCTGCAAACTCTCGCATCCATCCCGTTTTCCACGTTTCTCAACTCAAGTTGCGAGTAGGTAATGGCATGGTTGGGTCTACATTTCCAACAATGGTTCCTGATGTCTTGCTGCGAGAACCAGAGAGCATAATTGAAAGGAGAATGGTTAACAGGCAAGGACGTGCAGCAACTAAAGTCTTAGTGAAATGGGTTGGTGAAGATGAGACAGAGGCCACTTGGGAGTTTTTATACGATTTGTTGCAGCGTTACCCACAATTTCAACCATGAGGACATGGTTGTCTGGGAGGGAAGGATTTGATATAGATATTATATCACTTACAGAAAGAGACACGTGGACAGTGGTGATGTAAAGATGAAGCGACGGTGGAGATTCATTCAAGTCTAACAGAAAGCAAATTACAGAGATATAGGTGTGACGGGGGAATTGTAAAGAATTATGAGAGTTTGTTAGATTGTTTTCTCTTTTCTGGAATTCTTCTCTGTAATTGCGATTCTGTTCATCCTCTACAAAGAATCTTTCTTATCTCTGGATTCTTGTAAGTTGAACAATTGGATTCTTTGTTTCATGAACATTGAATTTTTTATCTTCCTTAATTGAAATCATAGTTCGGTTGTATCAGACTCGTAAAGAAAGACGTGGACCTAAGCTGGGACATGAAAACACTAGATCCTTGTCCAGGATTCGCCATGTGTTGAATGAATCAGTATGCAGTTAAATTCAAAAACGGACCAATAGTCTATCTTCTTCTTTTTTTCGGACATCGTCTATCTCTTACAATAGAGAATGTTCTTATGCTTCATGCCACTCTAAATCTAAAACAATTTTGTAAACTCTCCCTCGTCTTCCAAAAGAAGAGATACAACTCTCTATCAAAGCTGGAGATTTGATAATATTATATGATAATTTTACATAATTTGGATTTGGACGTGTTGCCAGAGATTAATCTATAGGCCAAGCTTTATAAAATCCAAATCTAATCCAAATCACCTCCAAAATATCTTTGATGGAATGAGAAAACGGAAAATATATCAATGATGTTCGAGATAGAGGCAGTGATGATATTTTTGTGTGAAAATGGTTATATTATCTATATTATAGAGCTACGAAAATCTTTATAAAAATTAAATATTAAAATCATTTTTAGTTATGACAAAGTCACCACCGAAGTTTTTGGCAAACTAAATTCATGCTGAATTGCTGATGCAACTTTATAGCCACAATATGCTATTAGTACTTAGTAGGAGCCATATACAAGAAAGTTCCCCACTATAGTCCTTGATTGGTTCTGGGCTTTTAAGTCCAGTTTACTAGATATAGGCCCGCCTAATGGTGCTTTTCTAATTTCATTCCAACAGATTTTTCTTGTTTATATCGATCGATAAATGTTTTTTCACGAAACCCTCCAAAATTTATATAGCAAACCATTTTTTGCTTACAAATATATCAAATATTTTGGAAAATTTTAACATCGCATAGAGATTAGAGACTGCAGAATCATCTTCTGTTTCCTAAAAAAATACCCCATAGTTGCTGTTATATCACTTAAACACTCCTACAATATCATCAATGATTGGAATTAATTAGCACATGATCCCTGAAGCCCATGCTAGTGAAGCATCACCTCAAATAGAATTTCATGACTAGAGTCTCGAGCAAACATTCCTTTCTGATCACGATGATTATTTAACGATTTAATCAACGTATTGTTACTATAAGTCTATCTCGATCGCTTTAATTCAAAAAGTTTATAACTGTACTACAGCTATTCGATTTTGAATTTGTTTAATATATTATTTTTTTTGAAGAAGATCGCAGAATCATTTTTCTGGTTTTTTAAATTTTTTAATATTTGAAAACATCCGAATAGAAGGTTTCGATGAGTTGTCGTGACTCATCAGCCGGCCCTTAGCAACAACTTTAAAAATTAAAAGACCATTTCGTCAACATGTAAAATATAAAATACACAGTTAAAAAACATACTTTTTCTATACCTTTCAAAATTTAATTTCTTCTTTTGGTAAAGTTTTATTTCTTTTGGAATGGCTTTATTTTTTTGTTTTATATTTGTAAGATTTGCTCCTTTTCTGCTTTTCTGTGAGATGAAGAAAAAGTAAAGCGTGCAAAAATAAAAAAAAAAGAAAGAAAATCCTTCAAAAATAAAAAGAAGAAAATAAATAATTAGTCTACTCTCTCTCTCTCGTCAAGACTGAGACTTCTATTTTGCTGTTACATTCTCCAGAAAAAGCGTTACTTTTTGTTTGTCCTTTCTCTCTGTTCCGTAATAACGAGGAAGAATCTAGAGACAGAAGGAGCTGAATTTAAGAGATGCAACTTTTTAATAGCTGCTGTGGAAAAGGATTTGATGGGTATGTATGGATTTATCTTGATTCATTCACTCGGTGATTTGTTTATCTTTGCTCCTTTCGTTTATGGATTTGTTTGATTTTCCCTTTTGTTGGGTCACTGCAAAAACAAGTGTTATTGCTTAAATCGGTTATGGTGTTCTTCCTAATTAGGGTTTAAGAATTTTATATCAGTTCTGGATGTTTGAATTTTGGAGCTTATTTGTGCTCATCTTCATGCCTTTCCTTCATCTCTAGTTTTTTTGATGTAAAGTTTCTTTTTTTCTAAGTTGTAAGTGGGAAAACAATCTGTTCGAATAAGCATTTCAAATCAGGTTTAAGCGAGAGCCATTGCTTATCCTCATCACTATATATGACCTGATTGATCTTTGAATAGCTGATGAGGATCATAGATGGCTCTCGCTTATATCTGAACACAGTTGAAACGGTTGATTGGTTTTAGTGTAATCTTATTATCCCTTGTAAAGCTTCTAAATTGCATTGTTTTCGAAGTTTATAGATCACAAGAACTGGTTCTGCAATGAATGATTGATTCAACCGCTCTGCATCGTAAAAATTGTTGTTTCTGAATAATCTGAAAAAAGGCTCTATTTTAAAGATAACTGAGGTTAAAGTTTTGGTTGATGTGAACACAGAAAAAAGAAAGGGAAGACAGAGCCATCATGGAGGATATTTTCATTGAAAGAACTTCATGCGGCCACTAACAGTTTCAATTACGATAACAAACTCGGTGAAGGTCGACTCGGGAGTGTGTATTGGGGTCAGCTATGGGATGGATCACAAGTAACTGATCTCAACATTTTTTCTAATTTGACTTAAATTGTTATGTAGGACTTGCTTCTTGTTAGAAACTGATCTTATGAGGAAAATAATCTGTCTTCTTGCAGGTTGCAGTCAAGAGATTGAAGGCATGGAGCAACAGGGAAGAGATAGATTTTGTTGTGGAAGTCGAGATTCTTGCCCGTATACGTCACAAGAATTTGTTGTCTGTTCGTGGTTACTGTGCAGAAGGACAGGAGCGTCTTCTTGTGTATGATTACATGCCGAATTTGAGCTTGGTTTCACATCTTCATGGCCAGCATTCAGCTGAGTGCCTTCTAGATTGCACCAAGCGGATAAAGATCGCCATAAGCTCTGCACAGGCCATTGCGTGAGTCTCATAATCTTAAAACCATTCATGAGAAGTTTCTTAATATGTTATAGTTTCTGACATCTTTTTTGTCCTTTGTTTAGTTACCTACACCATCATGCAACCCCACATATAGTCCACGGAGATGTGAGAGCTAGCAACGTGCTGCTTGATTCTGAATTTGAAGCTCAGGTTACAGATTTTGGATATGGTAAACTAATGCCAGATGATACCGAAGATGGAGCCACCAAAGGCAAAAGTAATAATGGGTATCTCTCACCAGAGTGTGTTGCATCAGGAAAAGAATCAGAAACGGGAGATGTGTACAGTTTTGGTATCCTTTTGCTGGAACTTGTTAGTGGCAAGAGACCAATCGAGAGGCTAAACACAACAACGAAGCGTGGTATAACCGAATGGGTGTTACCACTTGTTTACGAAAGAAAGTTTGGTGAAATCGTGGATCAGAGACTGAGCGGAGAGCATGTGGAAGAGAAGCTGAAAAAAGTAGTCTTGGTGGGGCTTATGTGTGCTCAGACAGAGCCGGAGAAGAGACCAACTATGTCTGAAGTGGTGGAGTTGCTAATGAATGAATCAAAGGAGAAAATGTCTGAACTTGAAGCCAATCCGCTCTTCAAGAATCCGTATAGCAGCAACGAAAACGAAAACGAAAACAATAGAGAGCAGCAAGTTGCAGAGGAAAGCTCAGATGTGATCTCAGAAGAAAAGGATCATCAGCAACAACAACAAGAATAGGGTATTTTTAGGCGCATAAATTTGTTCTCTCAGATTATTATTATTTTTTTACCATTCTCTGTTCATATTTGCTAGTTTTTTTATCCATGGCATCACTGGATTCGAGGTATTGCTTATTTTTGTGTTTGTGTTTGTGTGTTTTTTCGTTCATAACATTGATTTGATTCTCTGATATTGGAGTTTGTAAGGTGTGGGTATGACAACTCAAGGCAAAAATGTGATACTTCTGGTCTTGTTGCAAAATTGATACTTATATTCTGAAACATTTACACTTTTAACACGATCTTTTCACAATGAGCTGAATTAGATAATATTTCTCAATCAGTTCAAGTTCTGATTCTTGGAAGAAGATGATCGGATCAAAAGGATAACAGAGATTACAACAGGAGCGATTATGATGAAGAGTGCTTGAGTGAGATTAGGTCTTGTGATCTCTGGGAGCAAAACGCTTCCGTATTTGATTATAGCTGCTCCCGCCACAGAACCAACTCCGAGCTTCAACAAGTAGTTCAAGTCCTCCTGTACGTTGGTCAACGCAATACATATCAAAAATAGGGCTGATTCTATATATATGAATTATTTGAGTCCAAAAAGTTAAATATAAGCTCATGACTTTATCGATCAAATTCTAAACTTAAGGGGCTATTTGATACTTTTGAATTCTTTAAGCCCCTACAATCAAACAAAAATAGCTTTGCTCTCCAGTCCACAGAACTGACCTGCATTCCTGGACCGTTATCGGCTTGTTCCGACCGGTCATCGGAAGCCGTGACGCGAAATGACCGTTTTGTCCCTGAATTAATGGAAGGAGTTCGAAAACTGGTAACGAATTTGACGCTACTCGTGGTCTTCTTCATCGTTGGCTCCAAGCTCCGGTGAACAGAGCTCGAGCGAGAGAGCCTCGAAACTCCAACCACCATACCGGAAACGAAGACAGAACCTGACATCACTCTCTCTCTCACACACACACACACTTTTTATCTCTCTAAAGCTGCCGTATTTTCTGGCCAAGCAGTCTTGTGAATGGCGTGAACAGAGACTCAGAGAGGATAAGAGAGACACGACACTTCACCTAAAAGGCTAAAACACACCTCTCACGTTATGCGTTGGTTCTTGAAATCTTTTAAAACGCGTCTAAATTCGTTTGCGTTTCACTTACTTTCATAACAAGATTGATATTGTGATATATTACAAAATTTCAAATTAATATATATAGTGAAAACAAGTTTATTACAAGAGGAATTCGTAATACAAGATAAAAACAGCCATTTATAAAATTCAAAGTTTTTACGAAAAACCTGATAAAATTCATTTCTCAAGGATCTTCCTCAGAACAGTTCTTGCTAGATCAACACTTCCTTCTTTCTTTTCTTCGTCTTCTTCTTCTGATTTGGCTTCTCTAACTGATATTCCATGTCCGGACAAAGAGCAACGAATAACAGAGTTAATCTGCTTCCTTAATCTGGCATTATCAATCAGAACCTCTGTTAGCATCTTCCTTACAACATCATCTGTTCCACTACCTTCTTCCGATCTTGGTATCTTCAGCTTTTCCACTTCTTCTGAGAGAAGCTGCGTCTGTTCATCGAGCATAAAAATGTTCAAATCCAGAAAGAAAAAACGTTAACATTTTGTGACTCAACATGCGCAAACTCAGATCAAAGTGTCGTTGGTGTAAACCTACCTCAGCAATTAGAAGACCTATTCGGTTATCAGATGTTGTCAGTAGATCCAAGGCTTCTAATGCAGATGATGAGTCCATTATTAATTTACTCTCCTCTTCTATGTGGAACTTGATATTGCACTCTTGAAGCCGATTCTGTAGAACATCACACTCATGCAGCAACTTCTTGTTTGCTGTTTTTGCAGTTTCTTCTCTATCCTTCTCCCGCTGAACAATCCTCTGAATTGCATTAAGATTTAGGCGTTAAAGCTACTGGATTTTCCAATTCTCCGAAGAAGATTTTACAGTTGCGACACACTTGAATAAATCTCATGGAAAGAGCGTATTACCTCCATCTCCAGTTTTTCTTTCATCGTGCGGCTAAGCTCTTGTTTCAATTCTGATTGAATGGTTCGAAGAGACTTGACCTCTTTGACAAGGACCTTCATTTCTGCTTTCGATTTTATTTCCAGCTCTTCATGTTCTTTATGCAAGTTCTCAAACTTGTCTCTTAGATCATCGATCTGCTGCAGCAACATTTGATTTTCTTGAACGAGTGACTGATTTGTACTTTCAATATGTGCTTTCTCGTCCTGTAAGCCAAATATATAAAAAATATCTATCATTGAATGCAAATGATATAATATGTGAAGAAACTAAGAGAAACACAAACCGTTATAGAGTTTAACAACGATTCCATCTCCATGCATTGCTTCCGAAGTTCCTCCATATCCCACTGAATTTGAGTAAATCTTTCCTTTTCGTTCAGAACTGTTTGCTCCATGCCTTGCTTGCAGCTCTCTCGAGTTGTTTCAAGTTCAACCTCCAAGTCTTTTACCTACGAGACCAATCCCAAACATCCAAAACAACATATTATATCCATTCACAGAGTAAAATGACAACTGTGACACTGATCACTTCACTTGAATTAAATTAGAATAAGACATTAGAAATATTGCGGGAAAACACCTTTGTTGACAAAAATTGTCGAACAGCTAACTCCTGATTAAGCCTTGAGATAAGATCTTCCGTATCAGCTTTTGCTGTTTCCAGTCTCTGCTGCAACATATCAACTACTCTCTTTAACTTATTTCTCTCCTCAGACTGAAATACAATTGCCACATCCTTCTCAGTCTCAGTATTTTCACCATAACTATTTCCATGAGGTTCATCATGAATGTCCATAGAGCCTTGTTTAGGTTCCCCAGGAATTGACGCCTCAGAGTCCCTTACTTGAGTTATATCACTTTCAATTGTCTTTTTCTGAAACTTTCTATCACGTCCATCCAATCTCTGAAATCCAACTCCACTAGAAATGGCCTCACCAATTATGGTATCAGTGTCTGCAGTTTCATCAGTTCTGGAAAGACATTCTATTTTTTTCTGCAAAGGACTCTTATCAAGAAGTCCATATTCTGTGATTAATTCATGCCAATCAGTCACATTATCTTCAGAAGTTGAATTCCTTGAGACCATATTTTTTATACTAGCTTCGTCATGCTTCATTGCTGAGGTATCAGATGTCTCATCAGCGGAGTCATTGACATGATCCATGGTAACTGATGAACTACCAGGAACATCAGAACTGGTGTTAGGTAGAAGTAACGGACTATCTACAGAGTTATCTTCAGTTTCTTGATGTTCATCACTGAAATCTGAAAAAGCAAATAGTAAGAAGCAACTTAGTACATAGGCACAATATAAAATATAAAGGGATGACAGCTCACATAAATTCACTTCCTCTTTGCATTATTTTCATTAAAAAGGGAAAAAGCAGAAGATAAAGAAGAGCACATACAAGACCTGACAGCAGCTTCTAGCTCAAGAAATGTTGCGATCAGAGCGCTTCTGGATATATCTAAATCTGACAAAAGTCTATTCATCCAATCTTCAAGAGAGCACCTCCTCTGCAATAAACTAAACATTTTGAGAATATTATTGCTGTCACTAAGCTTAGAGTTGAGAGAATCGATATATACCTCTTCCAAAAGTGTCTGGTTTTTCATCCTCAGTCTCTGCTTTGGTGGTGCCTGCGGTAACCTTTTCTTTACAAACTCCTTTTTAATCTGGAAAATGGGGAATCAAGATGAAAACGCCATATCCCAACGAAAATGGCTGAAATATCATATCCAAGCAACTCATAGTTGTTTATAAAAGTGTTGTATGATTTTCTACGCTTCCATACACAAACAAATGAGCAAGCCAGAAATAAGAAAAGGGCATTGAGGAAAGAAAGTACTCACTGACGAATATAACTCCAGGAAATCATTGAATCTTCTAAGTACTAGCCTAGCGGAGGTGATTCCCTCGGGAGATTGTATCGCCACTTGCACTCTATAAAACTGATAAGGAGGAAAGAAAAATCAGGAAAGAAAATTATATGATTGCAGTCATGGGAAGACGAGGGACTCTGAAGGACAAAAAAACAACCAATACGTTTCTAGTTCATACAGACCATGAAATTACAAGATAGAATGATTAAATAAACAGTTTCGTACAAAAGAGACAGCTACGTGTAAAGGTATTACACACCACGGCAGGTTCTGAAACAGTTGATTTGGGATGGTCAACCCAAGAGGGTACAGTAACACAATAACTCCAACCAGTTCGAGGATCATGCGGCCAAACAGTGCTCCGTCCTTCCTACAGTTAGGAACAATATCCAAACAAAAACCATCAAAAAATACAGAAAAAAGGACCTATGGTTTAATTTTTCAAAAGGGAAACTCAAATCTAATAATATTGGATAATTTTAAGTTAAACCAAGCCTGCTCTTTTTCTACATAGAGTATTAGTAAAATGCATTCTCGTAATTGCAAAATCAGCAAAGGCTAACAAAACCGTATGTCATGAACTTATTCAACAGAACAAGGAAAACTCTTATTCAATGTCCTGCAGATGTTCAAAGGCACGAGAGCGTTAAGACCAAATCACTTAAAAGTGAAACAAAAAGAGAGCACTTTTAAGCAAAGCAGGCTAGGCAGCTATGAACATTGAAGCAGAAACACCAAAAACTGAAATATTGCAGGAAAAAAGGTGGAGAAAAACATACCCAATGACGAGGAGGAGCACTCCAATCCATCCCAAGAGGTAACGGAGACTTCCCGTCGTGGCGATGCTCCGGAGATGACCTCGGATCAGTAACAGATTCCCCACCATAAGCTCCGTCGAGACTGTAGCTAATATTGCGGGGATAATCGTCGTCCTCGCCGTGGAAGAAAGGGCCAGGCGAGAGGAACTGGTGAGAAACTGGCTCGCCGTAGGGACCAGAGACATTATAGTTAAAATCGAGGATTGAGAGATCGTGCGCGTAAAGATTCATCCTTTTCGTTTACTCTTCTGTTGATTCCTCTTCTCTCCAAGATAATTCTTGTCAATCAAAACTCCCCCATTTTGTTGTTCTTGTTCTTGCACCCACCAAGTCAAAACGGTGCGTTTGGCTCCCTTTCGTTTTAGTACTTTTATTCTTAAGCATCTACACAAAGGCCACTCTAGCCGAGTGGTTTGACTGGCGGTTGAATACCGAGTCTAAGAACTCTGGTTCGACCGTCCGGAAAAGAGCTGTGAAGATAAAACAATTAAAGTGACGGCGAGTCCGTCACTGTCGTCCCGATTAACCCGTGACGTTAGCAAGTGCCGTCTGAGCTCTTTTTTTTTTTCCGAAAAGAAATATATTTATACACTTTTGCTTCTGGTAGAGATGCAAATGTTTGGTTTTTTTCCCGGAAATGATTTTGCGTAATCCAGTTAACCCTAAAGTATCGATCTTCAAGGTACTGTTCATCTCAACGATCGCAGAATCTGTTCCCAATGATTATTACTCTCATTTCATCTCCATCCTTGGAGCCTGCAAAACGACGGACCAATTCAAGCAACTACACTCACAGAGCATTACGAGAGGTCTTGCGCCAAACCCAACAATCCAAAAGAAGCTTCTTTTCTTCTGGTGTACTCGTTTAGGTGGCCACATGGGTTATGCTTGTAAGCTGTTTGTGAAAATACCTGAACCAGATGTGGTCGTGTGGAACAATATGATCAAGGGTTGGTCAAGAGTGGATTGTGACATGGAAGGTGTTAGATTGTATTTGAATATGTTGAAGAAAGGTGTCTCTGTGACCCCAGACAGCCACACGTTTCCTTTCTTGTTCAACGGTCTTAAGCGGGATGAAGCGTTGGCTTGTGGTAAGAAGCTGCATTGCCATGTTGAGAAATTCGGATTAGGTTCTAACCTTTATGTGCAGAATGCTCTTGTTCAGATGTACTCTTTATGTGGACTAATGGATATGGCTCGTGGGGTTTTCGACAGGAGATGCAAAGAGGATGTGTTTTCTTGGAACTTGATGATCTCTGGGTATAATAGAATGAGACGATATGAAGAAAGCGTGGCACTTTTCAAGGAGATGGAGAGAAACTTGGTTGTTCCAACTTCTGTTACCTTACTTCTTGTTCTCTCTGCTTGTGCAAAGGTAAAGGATAAAGATCTCTGCAGAGGGGTTCATGGCTATGTAAGTGAGTGTGTGAGGGAACCAAGTTTGAGATTGGAGAATGCTCTGGTAAATGCATATGCTGCGTGCGGGGAAATGGATGTAGCAGTAAGGATCTTTAAGAGTCTGAAGACTAGGGATGTGATTTCTTGGACTTCTATTGTGAAAGGGTTTGTCGAGATAGGGAATCTAGAATTGGCAAGAACATATTTTGATCAGATGCCAGTGAGAGACAGAATTTCGTGGACTATTATGATCGATGGTTACCTACGAGCTGATTGCTTTAATGAATCTCTAGGAATTTTCCGTGAGATGCAAAGTGCAGGCTTGGTACCTGATGAATTCACCATGGTTAGTGTTCTCACAGCTTGTGCTCATCGGGGTGCCGTTGAGATAGGTGAATGGATTAAGACATACATAGACAGAAACAAGATCAAGAACGATGTTGTTGTAGGAAATGCTTTGATCGATATGTATTTCAAATGTGGGCGCGCTGAAAAAGCAAAGAAGGTTTTCTATGAAATGTGTCAAAGAGACATATTCACATGGACAGCCATGGTTGTTGGTCTTGCAAACAATGGACAAGGTCAAGAGGCCGTTAAAGTCTTCTTTCAAATGCAAGACATGTCGATAAAACCAGATGAGATTACTTACCTCGGCGTCCTCTCTGCTTGTAACCATAGTGGTATGGTAGACCAAGCAAGGAAAATTTTCACCAAGATGAGAAGCGACCATAGAATTGAGCCGAGTTTAGCACATTATGGATGTATCGTTGATGCGCTCGGGCGAGGTGGGCTGGTCAAGGAAGCATATGAAATGATTAGGAACATGCCAATGAATCCAAACTCGATTGTGTGGGGAGCTCTACTCGGTGCTTCTAGACTTCATAAGGATGAAGCGATGGCTGAATTGGCAGCTAAGAACATTCTTGAGTTGGAGCCTGATAATGGGGCTGTTTATTCTTTGCTATGCAACATATATGCAGCTTGCGAAAGATGGGAGGATTTGCGAGAAGTGAGAAGAAAGATGATGGACATAACAACCAAGAAGATACCAGGCTGTAGTTTAATTGAGGTAAACGGTGTTGCTCAAGAGTTTGTTTCTGGAGACAAATCACATCTTCAATCTGAAGAGATTTACATAAAACTAGAAGAATTAGCCCAGGAGTCGACATTTGCAGGGAACCTGGCTTGTACTTCCGAATTATTGTTGGAGGCTAGGTAAGATTATGTTTCACAGAGAATTTAGCTATGAGTTTCGAGTTGATTGCTTCTGAAGCCAGGGATACACAGTTCAAGATTATAGAGAACCCTGAGATGTGAACAGATGATAGTTTGTCACTGTCAAAGTTGTGGCGAATGCTGTGGATAAGAGGACAGCACAAGTTTCACTTAATTGTTCAACACAACATTCAGTTAGAGGCTGGATCCAGTCTGGGAAGCCTACAGGGGAAACTGATGAATTTATCTGCTGGAAGATCACTCTTTACGCAGGCACCTTGTGGACCAATCGAATAGAAGACAGAATCTGGTTTTGCGAACCTGTACAGAATGGGCATTGCCTATAGCAATCACCATCTGACCGGATCAGAGCACTTAAGCTCTGATCCTCTACAGAAGCCTGAGATCTCTCGCCTATCATTCAGAGCCAGACAGACTTGCTTATCAAGACAATTCAGAACATCTCCAACATGCTTTATATGATCCACATAGTTGTGTAACTTGAACAAGAATCAGAGGCAGATTAGACATCCAGGGAAAATCCAATATGGTTTTTTTCAGTCTGACTGGATAGACATTAATCATCATCAAAGATATCTTAATTACGGAACTGAGCAATTCATTCTTGTTGTGGAGGGCAAAAACAAATCTTCTATCTTGATGTAAGACCTCTTAAACCTTAACGGTTAAATATATGCGGTTCAAAATATTTCTCTGCTAATGCTCTTTTTTTTCTTTTCTTTCTCTCTTTCTTGTTACCATTAAAAGATAGCAACGAGAATAAAGTACTAAAATAGTTTAAGCTAAATCATTTAATTATAGATCCAGTATTGAAGGATGAAGCATCAGATTCCCTGCATTAAACTATGATATCAAAGTCAATCTTATGGCGAATCAGAATCGATCTTAACTAGTAAAGATTCGTTCTGTCCTATATAATTATCAACAACTTGCCTGACTATTACCAAGCCACTGAAAAATTAATGCTCAATGCCTTCTTCACGTGCAATAAAAAGTCGCGAAGCAGCTAAGCTTCTCAGAATACAGATAGCGACCCAAAAAAGAAGAAGAAGTAAAATACTTCGAATTGCAATAACTCCAAAGAATAACATGAATTCTGAAAAGAATTGGGGGAGCTTGTTTTTCTCTTGAATCACGAACTTACTAGAATTGAACAAAATAAACGAAGGGAGTACACACTTAGGGCCTCATACATTTGACTAGAACGTCCACAAATCTCTTGTACATGTGTTGCTTCATATACATCTTCTCAACTTTTTCACGTCCTATGCTACCTAGTTGTAGCCTTGTAGATGGGTTTCTAAGAAGAAACAAGAGATTCTGAGCTAAAACTTTGTTACCTGGCCTCCCCACAGGGTGGAGTAGCCCTGTAACATTGTGCTCCACTATCTCTTTTGTTCCTCCTGCGTCTGTTCCAAGCACCTGGTCCCATGACAAACAATGATTAGTATCACAAAAAATTCACCTTTCGTCTCTCCAGATTAAGAAAACACAGATTTATCTATAGTTTGTTTCTCACCGGAAGACCATAAGCCATTGCTTCGATGGTCACTCTCCCGAATGTTTCACCAATTCCCTGTTTCACAAATTGAAGAGGGTAAACAGAAGTTGAAGAAGACTTCAAATAGCATTCCCTGTTTTGAGTGTAGCCTTATAAGGATCAAGATGAAAAAGATTACCTGGGAGTTTGTTACGTAGACATCTGCTGCAGAGTATAGTGAGGCAACACGAGTGGTCGCTAAAGTCCACAGAACCGAGTTCGATAAGTTTCCATTGTTTGACAAGAAGCTCAACATTTCCTTCACGTATGCAACTTTGTTGCTCTTAGACCCAACTGATCCAAGAAGAAGTTTAAAGTCTTGTTTCTGTGTTACGTTGCCAGACAACAACAGCTTTCTTTTACCGGTGGCAGAGAGAACAGATGGATTGTCAAGAACAGGAGACGCGATTTTCATCTTCCGTGATGAACCTCTTAAACGATGTCTGACAGAAAGACTCATCTTTTGTTTCCTGATGCCATTGAGGTTCTTTATTTGGGGCTGATTACTTTCAGCTTCTTGTTCTTTCTCCAGTGCCAAGGCGGCAGACTCAAGGAGAAGAAGCTGTCCCTTTCCCGGATTTATGCTGCTAAGAGACATCACAAGCATATCCCTATCAGTCAAACCCAACTCTGTTCTGACTGATTCACGTAGTTTTTGTCTCTTCTCCTTCATCATCTCCTGGGTCAGTGTCGGAGTATTTAACGAAGAGGAAATCCCAGCAACAAAAGCCAACTCATCATTAACAGATAGCGGAACAATAACCGGCTGAGACCTAAGCTTTATATGATCCTCTTCACACCATGTTAACCACTGTTTGCTCTGTATTTCAGATAAAAATATTAACAGTTTCACTCGGTTCAGCACAGGTTTCGCTCGATCAAAGTACTCTCGCCGGTTCTCCATCACCCACCAAGCGATTTGACTTCCACCAGCTGGAAAGTGATCCATGTATTGATCTGGGAAAAAAGACGAGAGATTGTAAAAAATATCATAATGAGTTTTCGCACTTGAGGCGGAAAAAGAATATTCAAATTTTTTTTTTGATGAACAAACTATATGTAAGATTCACACTAGTAAAAAAAAATCTAAAATGAGACTGCTCCAACATGACAACTTATAATTATAAGATGCATTTCTATAAAACACATTTCTAGAAATGAAAGTCAATACATGTTCAGGCAAACAGCGATGTCAAAGAATCACCAGATCTATTTTTCCTTTATCATAAACTCGAGTTTAAAAATCACTATCGCAGCCTTACCTATCCAAGAAGCACAAACTGCTGATCCTGCAATGACAAGATCTGCTTTCATAGCAGTTTTGAAGCTGAGTTCTCCTTTGTCTTCAACCACTTTGATCCTTCTCCTGGTGAGCTCATGCAGTAATCCACCCCTTCTGCTAAGAACCACCGCATACACTGTTGCACCACAGCTCAAAAGCTCGGAAGCCAGCTCCATCATTGAAATTGGAGCACCGGTCATTGACAATTCATGGAAAAGCAGGACGAATCTCCTTGACCAAACAAGGCGTTTAAAGTCTGATTTCCTGTCACAGGTCCCTGATCGCTTTTGCGGACTCCATTCAAGAATTTTATCTTCTAGTGACCCAAAGGGACCAAAAAGCTTACTGAACGTAACATTTGTCTTTGGAAGTTCTTGATCTTGATCATCCAAGTCCTTACTCTCCACCACTTTTCTCACATTCTGTTTACTACGAGTCTTAGTACGTGAACCACGACCAGATTTTCTGGTCCGCCTCCTGGAACTCAAGCTTCGTCGAGATGTGCTATCCTCTTTCTTGACCAAAGTTACATGCATTCTCTTATTTACTCCTATATGAACTATATTGGTATTATCTACTACAGAGTGAGAACTCTCATTAGCAACTGAATCCAGTCGTTTATTCTGCTCCACATGCAAAACATCTTCCCTCAGTTTGCCTCCAAACCGTAAGAACTCAACTTTGCTATCATCATCATGCGCCCATCTGGACTGAACATAAAACCCAAGATAGGTCCAAAGAGTAATCAAAAGTAGCCAATAAAAAAGTCGGTTGCTTCTGAACCACTGAACAGCTCCGCCACTACCTTTGCCCTCTCTACGTGGAGTCCTGCCTGAATGCACTCTCCTAAAATTCGGTGAGCCCCTTGGAGTAGACTTCCCTGACAGTGGAGACTTAAAGCTACCTTGTTTCAGCGGTGATAGACGAAGATCTTCCATACTGTCTTGACTACAATAGCATGCTCAATATCCTATTCTCCACACTTCAACATCATTTAGAAAAACAGTCCATTCTCATCAGCCCATGATTTCTCAGGAAGCAGTGAAACTGAAACCTAGAATGAAAAATCAATCATCAGCATGCAATGCATATCAAATAAGTGTGATTTAGCTATATATAACATCACTTGATATCCAAATTCATCATATACTTGTTTCCACACACAATAGGTTCTCCAAATACAAGGATTTCGAACTCCAATTGGTATATGGAGGCCAGAAACAAAATAGAATCTCAATGGGAATCGCGTTCGACTAAATAAGGAAACAATTTCCGGTTAGCAGATAAAGCGGAGAGAGAAATCAATTCCAATTTCAAGATCAAGATCTTAGCGAGTATCTTACTAGTTCAGATAGGTCAGACACTCGTTTACGAAGCTGAGTAAATCTCCGAGTTGGATCACCGATGCTCCAATGCTGCAGCTGCTCTGAAGTACTGAAAGAAAGCAACGCAACAAGATTGAAACGAATTTTCAGAAATTACGATCTAAAGAATACCAAAGTCAATGTTCTTCAACTAAGCTAGAAAAAATCGTCGATGCAAAGAGAGACGAAACAACACAAGCTTGCAGAAGAAGCAGAGACGAAGACGAAGGTGAAAGAGACAAACAAATAAATATATACATTACATTGCATATAGAATTCCTCCTTGATCTAAGCATGAGAAAAGAGCTCAACAGAATCGCGGCGAGAGAGAGAGAGAGGGAGAGAGAGAGACTCGGAGTTTAACGGAGTCAGAGGTGCAGGAGGGGAGAGCTGAGAGAGGTGGCTGATTTTAATTTGTTCGAATTTTTCCTTATTAATTGATTTTTCCCAATTGTTTGTTAAACGTTTTTGCTGACGTCAAATCAATAAAATAATTCTTGTTTGCTTTCCCGAGAGTATGAGATGGCTCACACGTGCTAGAGACTCGTGTGGGGCACTCTGTTTTAATATTTTTCGGGGAATTTGTATGAAGTCATGGGAATTAAAAAATAATAAAAAGTATTAACTGAAAACGTAATTAAATTTGATGAAAAGAAGAAATATAATTTATAGTTTTGCTCTAGTCTGTTACTATGTTATTTGATTAAATATTAAATTCGTTGAATTTAAAAAACAAATTTATTAGCCGACCAAAAAAAAAATATATAAAAAGTGGTTACAACGTCCTTTTTTGTCAATTAAATTATCAGACAAATGAGCCGACAAAAAAAAAAATTATGAGGGAAATGGTAGATTAATCTCTAGTTATTGACTCATTGACTAATAAATTTCAGTTCAAATAAGAAGGATCAGAAACAGGAATTCTGGTTTTGCCTCCTAAAACTCTTATATCTTTCCAGTGTGGCCTAGACAATGGTTAATAGTAGATACAATGGTTATTAGTATCTACTATTAGACAATGGTTAATAGTAAATTCCGTGCTGTCTGATGTAGCCGATGATGCACTTGTAGTAGAAGTAGCTGATGATGAAGACTGTGGCTACCTTTGAGAACGTTTCTTTATCTATGCTTCTGAGCAAGATTGGTCAGTGATCTGAACAAGAAGTCGACTGTCTTGGTCAAAACAGCCAGAGACAGCATCTGCAAGATACACAAACAAAGAGAAGACAATATAAGAATAGCTCTCCTGCAAAATTAGGATAGAAATGAACAAGAAGACCAAGATGTTACATACACAACCCCCATTGTTTCATGATGAATTAAGTAGGCTTTAAGAAGGAACAAAGGGAACAGATTTCTTCATCATTCTTTATCTCTTCAAGGCCTCTTGCCGCGGCTGAAACGAGAAAAAGAAACTCTTATATGTAACATTTTGATTTGTTTGTATATATGATTTAGGAGTCATCTAAGAACACTTGTCAAAAAACATAGAAGAAATAAATCAACACCAGGGAGGAACAACACAAGCTTGCATAAGAAGTGGAGGAAAGTAAAAAAGAGACAAGAACGAAGACATTTACATTGCATTATAGTATTCTCCTGTGAATCTAAAGCTTGAGCCATTATGTTAACGGAGTCAGAGCTGCGCAAGGAGAGAGCAGAGAGAGTTCCTGATTCTACTAATTTGTTCCAATATATTGTGTTTTTTATTAATCAATTTTTCCCCAATCGTGTTTGTTCTTAATTAATCAGCACGTGCGGACCCGCTTTGCTGCGTGTGATGTAATCCTCCACCGCCGTACACGTGTCCTTGATGATGATGCCCCATCGTCACAATCCCACCGTACATCCCTCCGCCCGCCGTCGTAGCTCCTCCGCCATTATATCCTCCTCCTCCTAATCCGCCGCCGCCGCCAGAGCTTCCGTTTCCTCCACCGCCGCCTTCCTTATCCCCTTGTCTCCCCGTGGTCGTCTTCTCCCCTTCCACCTCCCTGTACTTTTGCAGGTAGATCTTCAATGGCTCCACGTAATCCTCGAACCCTAGCGTGGTCATCGCCCAGAGAAGATCGTCCCCGTTGATTGTCTTCCTCTTCTCTCTCTGACACTTATCGGAGGCCTCGCCGGTGATGAAACTAATGAATTCCGATACGCACTCCTGGACAGTCTCCTTCGCGTCCTTGGAGATTTTAGCGTTCGCAGGCAATGCTTTCTTCATGATCCGACTCACGTTTGCAATCGGGAGGAATCTATCCTGCTCACGCGTCGACGCGCTACCTCCGTCTTTGTTACCGCCTGAATCGTTGTCGGAATCCGCCATCTCAGATCGACCTCAGGAAGAAATCGGGAAACGGCGAACAGAGAATCGGAGGAGAAGTCGCGGCGAGAGAGAAAGAAAGAGAGTGTTTTGGGTCCGTTGGATCGAGAGGATAATAATCGCATCGTTGATGACACGTGAGTAGTTAATGGTCGTTCGTTTTGTCGATAAGATTAGGCACACGTGGATTTGATCGTATCCGTTGGATAGATAGAGAGACTTGAGATCTTGGCGGTGCGAAGTCCACCACGTCGTAGGATATGGTTGTAAATATAAAGTGGAGAATCTTTGGCTGATCTTTACCTTATCTCCATAATATTTGGTGCGTTGCTTTGCTTCCCTCATGGCTCATATTGCAAAACGACTCAGTTGCTTTTGGTTATTATAAGATTGTTTTTTTTTTTCATGATATTTGAGATTTTCTTATCTGTGAAGTTGTCTGAATTTGCAAGGAAATTTTTCAATTTGAAGGAGTCAATAAACCGTAAACAATGGCTCACTACAATTATTAACTGACAACGTAAATTAAAACTTGACCCAAAACAATGACAACATAACCAATTACAAGTTATTGAATTTGAAACATATTAGCAGAGTGTGCCTTCCTTTATTCAAAAAAGGCATTTGCCTTAGGCCACTGACAAAATTTTAAAAATTAAGGGCCACATTTTTGTAACAAGTAGTTTAATTAGTAGGTTGAATTAACTTTTATATGTGGTTTTAACCATTATAAATAGATTGTATAATTAAATTTTAAGATTTTAAACAAAATATCATACACTTACATCTATATACTTATATCATTATAATATTACATACATAAAATAGAATAAATGATTAAATTCTTACTTTAAAATAGAATTTAGCTTATAATGATACAAAAAATTATTTTTTTTTTAAGTTTAAACCAAAAAAAAATACAAAGATATAAAATTTGTCTTAGACCTCTATAAGTTTAGGCACGACACTGCATATTAGCGGAAAAAAATTAATCCATTGAAGTGGTTATAACCTATAACGTTCTTTTCTGATGATGATGGGATCATCAGGTTAATGGTGGACTAATAGCTATTTAATCTGATTTATTTACTAATAAATTAAGTTACAAAAAAAAAAGAATCCGGATTTCTGAGTTTGGCCTCTAAACTCTTATATCTTTCCAAATTTAGCCTATATAGTTGTTATAAGTACCTACTACTAGCCTAGTAGAAATAAGCTAATTACTCTATACAGTATATGAATGACAAGAATAAAAAGAAATAGTTATGATATCACCATTTTATAGCATAATCAATTAGAATGAAGGAACCAAAAAAAAGTTTTATTAGAGGACTAAAACATCTCTCACCCAGTCACTCTTTTCAATCTCTCTCAGAGTATTCAACCTCTCTCTCCTGATATAACCAACAAACAAAGTCTCAAACAAAACAACACCAGAAAATACAAGACAAGAACAACGACTAACTGAAGATGTGCTTTAAGCACAATCAAGAATCTCGTTAGTTCAATTAAGTGAACTAAGAAACTCAACCCAAATATATTCTGCTCTCTTAGTCGTCTCAAGCGCGAATTCCTCAGCTGCTTGCTCGTCCTTTGCCTTACGCACAGCCGCATGAAACTCTTCATAAGCTTGAGAAGCCTCCTTAAGAAGTCTTGCTAGATTCGTCTCCGTTGACTTAAACTTTAGGTCAACATTCTTTTTCTCTGCTTCAAGCTTCAGCAACAGTTTCTTGATGGCCAAGATTTTGATAGACAAGGCGTCTCCTCCCTGAGCCAGAGTCTTAGCGAATGCGAACTCAGCGTCCACGGCTCTCTGCTTCTCCATCGCGGTTTCTTTTAGCAGTTTGGCCCTGGTTTGAGCAATGTGGACTCTCTGAGAAGCCTCGAGTCCTTCTTTAATGACGGTTTTGTATTTGCCGAGCAATGAGATGTAACCAATGGAAGCTGAGCTGAGTACCTCGTAACGTGTACCGGCTTCTATAATCTCGTCGAAATTCGGGTGGTTTACGAGATCACGTGCGCTTAGACCACGTAGCTTCTGTAACGTTAGCTTTAAGCTCTCTATGCTCTCTGATGTAGCGGATGATTCGCTTGTGGTGGAAGTAACTGATGGAGATGAGCCAAACGCTGCCTTTGAGGACGTTTCTTTTCTATGGGTCTGAACAAGATTGTTCAGTGATGTGGTGAGGCTAGGGGTCTCTGAGCCCTACCAAAAGCCAAAATCAAAAGATGTAACAAAAGTCAAGAAACTGATTTAGATGTGAGAGTCCTTCCATTGTTTTCCTTAAAGAAAAATTCTAGATAAGAAACCTGGAATTTGGATTCTTCATCGAGTATCTCCGCTATGTTACAGACACCATCTTCAAGAAACACAAACACAGAGAAGACAATTAAGAGTAGCTATCTTGTGAGTATCAAAAAGAAAACATTCAGAAGAATGAGGTCGAAAGCTAACCTGCTTGCTTTAGAAGACTGTCTAAACCAGCAGCTGTCAAACAAAGAACATACCAACATTGAGATCTACTTTCCTTATAAAGAGACATGGCTGAGAGAATCTGATGATTAATTACCATTGTATCCGCCAGAAGTTTCCTCCACTGTACTTATGGTTTGTGGGTCCTTTGAAGCTGCTGTGGCAACACATAAGGAGAGCTGTTCTCAGAAATGTTTTTAAAAGATATAAACATGACACAAACAGAGAAAGATGAAAAAGAATCTCTTACTCTCTTTTTCATCAGCCTTGGCACTTGCAGCTTCTGCAAGTTAGAAATGAACAGGAAAAATAAACCAAACTGTCAGATTATACAGTCCTCTCCTTGTTTCATTATGAATTCTTGCGTTTGATTCTCGAGTTTACCTTCATATTCACGTTCGATTGCTTCCAACATATGGTTTCTCTTATTTTCAGCTGTTAAGCCAAAAAAACAAAAGTTTTAAAATTTGTGTCCGAATTAAGGGCTTTGAGAGGAACAAAGGTATCAGATTAGTTACCTTGTTCTTCATCATTCTTTATCTCTGCAAGGCCTCTTGTCGAGGCTGAAATAAGGAATAGGAACAATAATACATAAGGAAACTCTTTCTATATCATTTTGATTTGGATTCATCTACTTAACAAGATTTATTGCACCAAGAATGGTTCAAGTTTTCTTCAAACTCAAGAGAGAGGAATATGTTGAATTACCTTCAAACTCGCGTTCAATAGCTTCAAGCATACTTTTTCTCCTTGCAGCTATTAAAAGAAATGGGAAAAAAACTCTGATTCAGAATACATTAGAAACAAAAATGGAACACAAAAACCCTTTTAAGGGAAAGAATTTTTACCGTGGTCATCATCATCCTTGCCTTCGGTTGAATCACTAGCCTTTAGCTTTTCAAAATCTTTTGTAGCAGCTGCAAGTAAGAAAATAAAACAAAATAAAACTTATTTACTTGATCTATTTTAATGGATTTACATTCAGCTTAGAAGTTCAATAAAAGTAACCTTCAAACTCGCGTTCGATAGCTTCAAGCATGCTATTTCTCTTTGCATCTGTTACGAAAACATAAAACCATTCTTCAGAATACTATGGAAGATGCAAAGTGATAAGAAAAAAAAAAAAAACAGAGGGGACACGTTATTACATTCTGCACTGTCAGTTCCTTCACTGGAATCTTCAAGCTTTAGTTGCTTAAGACTACTTGTAGCAGCTGCAAATTGATAAAACAGAGGAAATGTTGCAAGATTTGATATTGGAACCATAAGAACTAATTATCAGAAATATAACTACATTGAAAGTACCTTCAAATTCACGTTCAATCTCATCCAACATACTTTGTCTTTTTGCAGCTGGAAAAAAATGACATGTATGAGAACAAACAATACTGCAAGTAAGGTAAAGGAACGAAGAAAATATTGAATGGCAAGATTTTGTTACATTGGTCTCCATCATCTTTGCTCTCGGCGAGATCATCAAGTTGTTTAAAACTTTCGGTAACGGCTGCATAAGAGGAGAAAGAACTCTTAGAACTTCTTGAACCAAGAAAGAGTTATAAATTCTCTCTAAATATGATGATTGGTATGTTGAATTACCTTCAAACTCGCGCTCGATTGCATCTAGCATACTTTGTCTCCTGGAATCTGTAAATAATACACAACATAGATCTATCTCAGAAGACTGAATAAGGGACAAAAGAAGTATCAAAGTCAAGATAACAATATCTTACCTTGTTCTTTATCATCATCTTCGACAGTGAAAGCATTAATCTTTAGCTGTTTAAGACCACTCGTAGCAGCTGCAAGTAGAAGATGAAACATAATCTTTATAATCTAAGAAGTCTCACCAAAAAGAACGTGAACCAATCAGGACAGATATTGAGTATGTCAAGGTACCTTCAAACTCGCGTTCGATTTCATCTAGCATACTGTTTCTCTTTGCAGCTATAACAAAGCAATGAGATCTATGAGTCCTATAATTTGAGACTAAGCCCATTAAGGAATCATGAAAATAGAGAGAAAGCAAGTATTACAGTTTGATTCATCATCTGTGCTTGAGGTGGAATGCCTTAGTTCTTCAAGACCTTTTGTAGCTTCTGAAAACAGAGGAAAAAACAGAGTCTAAGATGGTTTTGTAAAAGATACCTTGTTAAAGACAAGATAAATGGTTATATACGTTTTAAGATACCTTCGAACTCTCTTTCGATCTCTTCCAACATCTTCTGTCTCCGTGCAGCTATAACAAACACAAAATCTGAGTCAAATATACTGTAAATAAAAACAAGCTACGCATCAAACAAAGCAACATTGGGAGAGTTTTTTTACCGTGTTCTTCATCATTGATTCCAGTTAAATCATCAGCCTTTAGTTGTTCAAGACCTTTTGTAGCAGCTTCAAGTAAGAAATGAAACAGAGGACACAAACTAATTATTAGTTAACGTTTTTGGGTATCAAGTAATTAATTAAACAGATATTTAGTATGTCAAGATACCTTCGAAATCTCGTTCAATCTCGTCCAGCATGCTTTGTCTCATTGCAGCTGTAACAAAAGAAAGACAAAAAAAAAAAACAGAGAACTTGGACTTAAGAATATCGAAGAAGAACCAAATGTGATTGTAACAAGTACTAGAGGAAGAGTGTGTTTCTTACACTGTTCATCATCTTTTCCTTGGGAGGAATCATTAGTCCTGAGTTGTTCAAATCCAGCTGCAGCAGCTAAAGAAGACAAGAACCAAATGTCAGTAAGAATCTATCAACAAAAGTGGTTTCAAGAACTGATGTGAGGACATTGAAAGGTACCTTCAAAGTCGCGTTCAATTTCTTCCAGCATTTTCTGTCTCCTAGCTGAAACAACAAAGACAGCATAAGACAAATCTCTTAGCAAAAGTGATCAGATTAAAGAGGAAGGATTTTTGTTTGTTTAACCTTGTTCTTCATCATCCTTAGATACATCAACATTGTTGATACCATCAGATCCAGCTTTTTGAAGTTCATCAACATTGTTGATTCCATCAGAACCAGCTTTTTGAAGCTCATTGATATGTGCTATAATCAAGAAACACAAAAGGAAAAACAAACAAACTCTTCATGTCAAGATTTTGATCCAAGCATCTTTCAGAAACATAATCAACTATGAGACATTTAAGAAAACAGATCAAAAACAGAGTAAACGTCATGACATACCTTGGAACTCAAGTTCAATATGGTCCAACATACTCGAACCTTTACCCGCTTCATCAGTAACAGCTCCTAACTATAGATCCAAAGTAAAAGAAACCAGTGATCAATCAAATGTGCATCCTAAAACAAAATCGAAATCCTAGCAATCTAATTAATAAACAGTAATTGACCTGAGACGAGGTATCAGCAGAATCTTTAAGAGTTTTCACGGAATCTTCCGATAGAGACAGAGAAATGGTGTTGTTATCCGTCACAGTACTGTTTTTCTGACCACTGGTCTGGTTTTCACTCTGTCTCTGATCTTCTCCTTCGTTGCCTTGGAGAGAATTTACATTGGCTGCAACCATAAATCATCTCCATTTAATATTCAAAGATTTGTGTTCATCTAAGATGTATTGACTTCTTGAGACAATATATCTTAAAATTACCTTGATACTCACGCTCAAATAGATCTAAACTCAAACCTGTAGTTCCTTCATCCTAAAACCAAAAAACGAATGTAGCTTAAATCAATTGATCATATATGATTACTACTTTCGTTTGTTGTATATATATATATAATTAAAGAAAAAGTGTGTTGAGTATTACGTACCTGGCAAGAAACATCATAAAAGCTTGAGAAAACAAGACACAGGGACAGACCCAGAGCTAAAAACTTCGTTCCCATGGCGGAGATTGTTATCACAAAGATCAAAAAAAATACTGTCTTGAAGCTTGAGGAAGCATAAAACTTGACTTTAAATAAAATCCAAATCAACTCAACGTGGCTTTTTTATTTTATATTAGAAATTCACGTGGCTTTATTTTTTTATATATTTTGCACGTCCCTGCTTACTAACAACGATTTAACCCTCTTTATTTTGTCTGTAGTAGTTTCTCTGTGTGAAATGTTCATTAATTATGATTATCCACTCTTTATCAATCACAATTTCATCTTAGGCTAATAATTTTTTTTTTATCTTAACAAAATTTTTTTTTTTGAAAATACGCTACAATGAAAATAGTTTAAATTTTGAAATATAGAGGATCCATAAAAGCTACTATAGTCAACATTTAACTTTTGAAAAAAAAAAATCAACATTTAACTTTTAATCGATTTAACTAACTTCGATATTATGAAATAATACTAATCTTTGTCTAGTTGTTGTGAACTTCTTTGCTGCTTTAAATCAAAAATGTAATGGTCATTAGACTCATAACAACCAAATCGTATATTTCAGATTTGCACAACTATTTAATATATACTATGTCATACCGATCAGTGTTTAATATTGCACTCATTGGCGAAGAAATCTTTACAGGTATAAGATAATATCAGCGTGCAACACATGTGTGTCTCCCTCAACTCAATTATTGACTATTAATATATTTCTAAACGAGAGCAATTAATTCCAACTCAGGTTTATACAATCCCAAGACGTTGACTGAGTAATTTCTATCACTTTTTACCCAATCCACCTTTGTCTAATACATATTGTATATATTGTCCTCTGTTTGTTTGAAGTAGAAAGATATCACATATAAGCAGAAGACTACGGGGCTCGGCCTAGAACTTTTAAAAAGTACAAAAATAAGTAATTGATGCAAAATGATAAAGATAGCTTGCTGTTTAGATTAAACTTAGTATAATTTAGCTTTCAGTTCATACTTTTTTGTTTTATAATAAAGAAAAATTAATTAATTGATCACCAGCCGCCTCAATTAAGTCCTCAACCCCATCGATAAACGATAGGGACTCGCGTGGAAAATTAAATACTATCACAATGACATGTCTCCATATATAGTGTTATAAAATTACTATAAAATATAAAATTTTGGTACAAACAACATGAAGATAGAGCAGCAGAGAATCAAATAAGAGGGGACACATTATCTCCCCATACCCCATATAATACGCGACCGAGCTTCCCATGTTTAATCCATCTCTTCATTTCGTTGCTCTATAATTTCTTCTAGCTGCTTCGTCTTAATTTTAACAATAGTTTCCTAAAACATGCTAACATAGAGGGATAAAACAAAACTGATTTTCAATTAGTTTTTAGTCACGTTAAGCATCAAGTACTAAATGTTGAAATATTTTAAACAAATCAACACGCTACAAATCCAATATCCCCTCTCTTTCGTCTTTGTCACTTCAATGTTTCTATAAATAACCTAAACGAATAAGTCACCGTAGTAAAAAAGTCAACCACATAGAAAATTGCTGTGACCTTCCCTTAATCCCTTCAGAGATCCATTTGCTCTAGAAAAAAAAAAACAGAGCACTTCCACAACAGCTTGGGCCTTGGGCTTCTTTTAATTCACAAAGTCCATCTTTTGTTCAAGCCGACGCCGTTTCTTAAAAATGGAGAGAACTTTCCTTTTTTTTTTCTTTTGTTTCTTTATCACCTCCCATTCTATTTTGCTTTTCTTTTTTATCACCCAAGTCTACAAAATTTATATTTCCACCTACAAACTACTTTTTCTTTCAAAATTCTCCAAATTTCCAAAAACAATAAAATATCTTCTTTTTTTTTCTCCACAAAGCTAAAATTACGTATGTATATATATCATACTACAGGACGATCAATCATGTTATTGAAAAATTATACATGAAACTACATAAAATACATAAATAACTAAAAAAGGATCAAATCAAACTGTCTATATGTATAATTAATTTTTTCAACACTCAGCGAGTTTTTTCTCAAATTCCTTCAAAGCCATGAATATGATTATGTATATCTTTAGCTATAAGCACATTTTATATATATGGTGTCGGTCAGAATAATTTCAACAAAAAGAAACGTAAATGAGAAGGAGCTTTTTATTTGAAAGGTGAGGACAATAAGGAATAATGAAACAAATATAAACAAGAAGAAAGCAAAAAAGTGTGTAAATCAAAAGAGAAGAAGAAGAAGAGGAGGCTCGCGTGACACAAGTTGTGTCTAATGACTAAGAGTATTGAGAAACTGAACCCAAACGCCCTCTGCCTTCTCGATGGTCTCACGCGAATACTCGACAGTAGATTGAACCTCCTTCCACTCACGCACAACCACATGGTACTTCTCGTAGGCGTGAGAAGATTCCTCTAGAACACGTGATAGATTCTCAACAATCTTCTGGAACTCTACATCAACCTGTCTCTTGTCGGCCTCAAGCTTCATCACAAGTCTCTTCATGGCGAATATCTGAACGGACAAATTGTCTCCTTTCTTAGCCACAGCCTTCACTGCCGCGAACTCTTCGTCCACTCTTTTCTGATGGTCTTTGGCCACGTTTTCGTGTAACTTGACACGCTCGTGCACGGTCTGAACTCGCTGCGAGGCCTTGAATCCTTGCTTTATCACAGTCGTGTACGTGGCCAGCCTTGCGATGTACGTTACCGAAGCCGAGCTTAGTTGTTCGTAGCGTGCAGCCATTGTCATTATCTCCTCGAAATCTGAACGAGCCACAAGATCACGCACGTGTATACCAACATAGCTTTTAAGGGTCGTTTTTAGCTTTGTTACTCTCTCTGATGTTTCCTTGGTAGAAACCTGTCCTATTCTTACATCTGTCCATCTTCCTCTTTTATGTTTCTCAACAATTTCGGTCAGCGATGTTATGAGACTAGAGGTCTTTGACGAGGAGCCCTATATACAGTCCATTAATGGTATATTAATTATCTATCGTTTATATTTCATGAAGTATTAAAAAAATTTCCTCTAATTAAGTCTAAGAAGAAACCTGGTTAATCTCTTCCTTGATGATGTCATTTATGTCGTACTTTGGTATAACGATAGGACTGTCATCGTCGTCCTTAGCACCATTTTTGTTTTGGTTTATACAGCGCCATGCACCTACCCACCGAAAAAAATATGAATAAATTAAGCTCTTCTGAGTTTCTTGTGTATTGATTAGGAGATGACAAAATCGGCTTAAGTTGTTATAAGGAAGATTTCTTGTAATTATTATAATTGTAGAAAAAAAATTAAATTAAGATTTTGATTTTTTTCATTGTCAAATTTTTTTTTTAATATAAAAAGATATAGATTTTGCGAAAATAAGCCTATTAATTAGCAAAATAACTTAAAGACGACAAACACTTATACGATATCATACGAGCATGTTAATTTATTTTGTATGGTATGTCTAAATAAAAGCTTTCATTGAGAGATAAACCTGACTCTCCAATTCCTAGAGATTCTCTAATCTGTGAAGACCTGCTTTGCGACGTCGCCTCATACTGTTCACGACTCTCACTTGACACACCTGAAAGAAAATAATTAATTATGTACATTGGTGTGATCTAATATATTTTTTTGTTGTTGTTAAAGATGATGATGATCTGATATATAAATGCCTTGAGAATATGAAGATTATAACATACCTTCACTAATTTTTCTCGGTGTATTTATCATGATGTCTTGGTTTTCCTCAGCTGTGACATTAACGCAGATATATGTAAATTGGAATACATTGTAAATAATTAATTTTATTGCAATGATCTGATAATACTTTTAACAAAAAAAAAAAACTGCCTTGAAAATACAAAAGATTTATTATACCTTCATCACTTCCAACTATTTTCGGCTCATTTATCATGAAGTCATGGTTTTCCCCAGCTGTGACATTAACACATGTATATTCATGTAAATGAGAATTTATATTGAATCAACCAAGAATCTATTTAATTTGTTAGAGAGATCCAATGTCCAGCTAACATAAAAAGAATTAGAAGTGTTTCTTACATTGGAAGTTACCACTTTCTTTGAATTTTCGTTCAATCTCTTCCAGCCGTTTCCGATTCTCAGCATCTGAATCAAACACACACATTAAAATAAAAATTACCAAAAACAAGTCTGCGCGTCCATAGTGGAGAAACAAAGTAGAAGGGGAAGTTTTGTTGTTTATCTTTTACCATTCCCAGAAACATCCATAGATTCACCACCATCAGATCCAGCTTTGCCTTTTAAACCTACGATCGAAAAAACAAATAAAAATCGACACATGTTCAATAAATCACCCATTAATTGTCTGAAAACATTCAAACCTCATATTAACATACCTTCCAGTAGACGTCTCACGTCTTCCGAGCTACTTGAACCTTGACGCACTTCCTGACCACTAGTAACTTCAGACTATATATATATCCAAAGTGCACCAATAAGTTACTGTTTTATCCTAGATCATGTTACAAACATCAAACCAAAAAAAAAAAAAAAAAAAAAGCTCTAGGGTTTTACCGAGGATTCAACCGACCGAGACTCAGATGATGATGTCACTTCTTGAGATTCGCTGGACGCTGCGTCAACCTAAAATGAAAATCAAATGCATGCAAGCCGATTTTACTTCCAATCTTCATCTTCTTATGCTTCTATGCATTTTTTTTATATATTATTAATAGAAAGCAAAAGGTATTAAATTGTGGTTTACTTACCTGACAAGAAACCTCATGGAAACTTGAGAGAAGGAGAAACATTGCTAAACACAGAATCACACATTTCTTTCCCGTCGCAGCGATTGTCATTACAAACACCAACTTAAAAGACACTGCTTTGATCCTTAAATTAAAATTGAATTTGTTTTGATGTTTGTAATAGAACTTGCTGTGCTTTATATAGAGCTCATGATGTAGACTAAACCAACGAGTCTTGTTTTTCTCATGTCTTTAAATAATCACCAGTCTTTTTTATATATAAACCAATAAACGAGTCTTTTCTTTTATCATCAATATGTACATTTATGTTTCGTAATTAATAACTAATGTAAGTCTACGTCTTCATCTACTGATAAATATTGAAGTAGTTGACCGTGTTTTTTTAACTTAATGATTTGAAAAATGCATCCCCTATGTCATAAATAAGGTTCAGATCTGGTTGTGTATATGAATTATAGACGACTATGGAAAAAGAAAAAAAAGGTTGAAGTGGTCGATGGTTTTCCCTTTTCTGATTCAAACTATGCTATGTTGGTGTATCTATCTTAACTTTGTAACTAGTGATATACTATGAACAAAATGTATCACTTAATCTATCATCGAATAAGTACGTTGTTGAGTTATCTTCAAATCTTGTTTGTTGAATATGGATGATGCATGGTGTCACTAAAGGGGGTTGAATTGACGAGATCAGGTTATATTTTTTGTTCTTTACTAAAATTAGGAATTGTTTTCGCTGTTTCATTAAAAAACATTCAAGCCTATTCGTTTTTACATGTAGAACAAGGGCCGGCTCAAGCTATATATGAAGGCCAACACACTTCAAATTTGAATTATTACTATGATTTATCGGAAAAAAAAAAATCGAATCGTAGTAGGTTTTTTTTTCTGAATAGTAGTTGTTATATGGTTGTAACAATTATGAAGGTTAGTGGATTTATAACCAATAAATGACAAATCAAAATATACGCTTCTTTTTAAAAAAAATTAAGAACGATTAACTAAAAAGTAAATCTTCTAAACAAGTTAGTAATCTCTTCAATACAGAACTCATTCCAAAAACGTTAACAGATATCAGGAGATATAAGGTTCGACAATGAAATTTGATATTAATTTTGTTTCTGTCAACATTTTACATATCCATTGTACAACATAAAAGGTACGACTTGCCCACTTGTTCTAAACATATGGAGTTGACAATAACATTAGTTTATAGGGTTATATATCACATAGGTTCACATGGTCAAGAATAAATGAAGGAAACAAATACATTATTTATTCTGACTATCCCGACGACCCGACCTAAGGTCTTATTTATAACTGTAAAATTGACATGAATAGACGAAGGAAATTAAATACATGCATAACTAATGATGACTACCCCCGATTTAAGTCTTATATATATTACTATGAAATTTTAATAAAGTATATTAATATATTAATATTGACTTTGATTTGGATGTGTTTTTTGTAGCATGATGCATGCATTTGCTGTTTGGCGTAGCCAATTGGAAACCAGAAAAGTATATGAATTATGGTGATGGTAGAGCATAAATAATGAAAAAAGACACTGGATAATTCTTTTACTGCAAACTTATTATAATAAATAAAAATTCCGACCGTTAAACAAGTAATGCAGAATAAACAGATCAAACAACACAAATATGATAAATATGTAAAAGGAATTAAACATACTATAAAATAAACGGTACAAAATGAATAAAGTTGTATAATAATTTTAATAAATGCATGTAAAAACCACAACTATCCCCTTTTTCAACTATTTATTTTTTACATTTCAGATGATCGAAATAAATAATAAGACTAAACTGCCAAATCTTCTTATATATATATATTTTTTTCATTGAACTGTGGTGACGTTGACGTGCGACATTGGTAATATTGAAAACCTGTTTTTTTTTTTTTTTTTTTTTGGTCTCAGGAAAACAGGATTCTAAGGAATGAGATGAGATGAACAAATCCTATACAAATGTAGTGTTTGATACCGATTGTTTGACACTTGAGATGAATTATTTTGTACTGAATTAGCTACCGATTACGCCGGATGTATATTTGATGTTGATGAGTTCAATAAGATTTAAGAACATAGTCACCTCCAATATTCATATAAAGAACCATAAGGAGTTTTAACTGATCTTATATAATCTCTCTCTATTCTCTCTGCTAAATTTGAACTTCAAACAACAAAGACAGGAACACAAGGAAACTATTTCCAAAGATATGTTCTTTCAAGCATCTTCAGCCCTCGGGGAGTTCTCAGGTGTCTTCAAAGAAGCTGCTGCTTCTACAACCTTTGGTTTGCTCTTTTTATGTTCTTCGATAACTGCTCGGAACTCTTCCACAACCGCTGGATCCTTGAACTTGAGTGCGAACGTAGAGAGACCGTTCTTGGCTTCACTTATACTATTCACACAAGCAAATGTGATTCCTTTCTTGTCCATGCTTGCCAGTTTCATTTCCGGGTAGAGACTTGCGTTTAAGATCAACCTGTAGTTTCCTTTTGATCTCATTACTAGTCTGGCTTTTCTGTTATCAGTCGTCGATACGTTTACCTTGAGTTCTCCTTTCCCACGCTCTTTCCATCCTCCTTCAAGATATTCAAACATTATTGAATCAGCTGTGAAAGCTGCTTTCTCGTTCTCTTCTCCTGTTTCCACTGAGACCTCTTGCTTTGATGGAAATGCAGTAGTAGTTCCAGAGCTCTTTGTGGAAATGGAAGTTGAACCGGATGTACAGAAAAGAGAAGAGTTTCCATTGTTTGGCAGGCCAAAGCTGAAGGATGACTGTTCAGTCAGAGACCCTGAACCTGAACCAGCCGAACCTTCCTGTGGAACCAAACCGAACGAGAATGAAGAAGCGGAGAAACCTGTACTGGCAAGTCCTGTGAATGCGTTTTTGCTACTTGAATGCTGGTGAAAAGAGCTCAAGGCTCCACTATCTCCATTCTTATCAGTGCATTCATTTCCATCGCCTTTTTTATTTTCTTTCTTATCACCTCCTGAATCCTTGTCAACACAGCCAATCCCCTTACCAGTGTTGCTATTGTCTTTGTCATCTTTGGCCTTTTCAGTCTCTTCCACAGAGGCATCTTCAATTTCCGTGGTTGTTTTTGTCTCATCTGTAATCTTGTTTTCAGCTCCACCATCTCCACTATTAATGGCTTCACACTTATCTTTCTCGACACCATCAATATCCTTGGTCGCATCAGATCTTCCATCAACCTGTCTCTCTTGTTTTCCCTCCGCTGCAGCCGAATTTGACAAAGACAGAGGTTTGTTCGTTTCCGGAGCAGCAGTAAAACGAATTCCAGCAAATGGATTGGATGATGGTGCTGCTGGAGATGGATCTTTGCGCTTAACTCTGACAATTCTTCTGGTTACCAACACCTCCTCACTTGCAGTCTTGAAGGTAGCACTATCTAGCGCAGAGGAGTCTTCTTCATCATCAAGACCAGGATTTTCACGAGACAGCTCCTTCAAAGCAGCTCTCTTTCTGGAAGGCTGCTGAGCATTTTCTGAGTCCCCCATTGATACGTTGAGAAATGTAATACCTACAACACCGTGCAAAATAATTTCCATTAAGATTATATTCCCATTCGTGCCAAAGAACCAACTAACCAGAACCGATCTTGGGGATAAGGAGGTCCTGAATTCATATCCAAAGCATCGTTATATAGCTAACGTATACCTAACTCAGCGGATCTACACGGTTAACCAAAGACCAACCATAGACAAATGCATAAATTCTAAATCTAGGAAGCCTGAGTCAAGATGCAACTGCATTGGGAAATTGATAAACCATCAGAGGCCTGTATTGTAGGTGAATAAGCAGAACCAAGAAGCCTCTAATGCAAAGAACCCGGCTAATAAGAGATCAACAATGGAGAAATGAACAGAACCAAGTAAAAAAACCAACCTAAGATGTAGTTGATGGACGCATCAAAATGATGAGAGAAACCAGCGTATAAATGAGCACACACATTGAAAATCTAAACTATCACCACAAAGAAAAGGAAGGAGGGATTTACAGAAGTAAGAGGATATCAGAAAACGATTTGCGATCTTAAAATTCAAATTTTCGAGGATAAAAGTTCCACCCAAATTACAGGGCGTTTATGTTTAACAATTAACACCACGAAATTCGTATTAAAAATCAATACGATGATAGTGCAGAAGAAAAGTTAATCCAATCCCATATAAATCAGCGAAGACAAAGCCACAAGAACCAGAATCAGAAAAGTAGAAGCTGATTCCCGACAGGCACACAACGATAATCTAGCAGGGAGCAGTAAGAAGAGTATACCAAACAAGGCAATAAGAAATCCGGATTCGGAGAAGGAGACCAGCGACGACGAGGTTGTGATAATTCGGCAGACTTACCGACAAGTAGAAGCAGCATAAAAACCCTGTCGCCGGAGCCAAGAGAGAGTATTAAAGGGGAAGATTATCGATCGAATTTTTAGCACATTAATCGCAATAATGATAGCGTCGATTGAAAAAAAAAAAATTAGAAAGGTAATAAGTCAATTTTACGGTAACAAAAAAAAAACGATTTTAGATTTTGTTTTTTATTGTTCTCTTCTCCAAATCGATTTTTTGAGCCATTTTAAAATCTAATTTTTAATTAAAAAGAGGTATTTGCAATGTCTTTTCTCAGCTCTAGTAATAATGTAATACTCCTAAGATGTTTACGTGTTATACAATAAATCACTATTTACCCGTTGCATCCATTTTGTAAGTATGTACTGTCTGTTTACGTTTTTAATTTTTACTCAGATTAGTAGAATAATAACCATTTTCTTATTGAAAGTACTCTGCAACTATTGTTTATAAGGGTAGAAAAAATAAGGTTTCCAAAAAATTATTATATATGCACGAGCAATTAGTTGACATGAGCTGAGATCTAAAGCAGAGATTTGTAAAAGAGTTAACGAGGTAAATACCAATAATTTTATATTAAAAAAAAATTATGTAAGAAGATGTGAGAGACATAATATTGGTTGGCGAAAATGCCTTTGTTTTGAAAAAAAGAGAAATGGTAGGGAGTAAAGTAGAGATAGGGGACAAACTATAACAAACCGTTAAAAGATTTTGAAATATAATGACTATATATGAAAACCAAAACACCACCTGGGAGCCACCAAGATATAACTCAAAGAAAACTATTACTTCCTCAAACCGCGGATCACATCTTCTTTTATCCATAATTTCCACCCAAGAATTGCTTCTTGTTCCAAAATGGTTCCAAGTACTGGCACTGGTGGCTATTGACGTGGCGTAAGCACTGCAAAACCAAAAGATACAAAAGTTAAACGATTGAGAGACAAGTCTCCAAATCCTAGAAACATAGATGCAGAGATTATATAGCAAAGTTAACTCATAAAACAACTGAACCCATCTGATGCAAACTCAAAGATGTTATTAAGGGTGAGGAGACATATAATCATCCTATGCGTAAATGATCAAGAAACAAGGGAAGATTTTATTTTTGTGGGGGAGGTTTCAATTAATCACCAGAGACACAAAAATTTGACTTTTCAACATTGATCCTGGACTGACTTGCTTATTAGGCTGATGGGTTTCCTTTGTTATTCGTACCCCACTCTTCCTCACCCTCACTTCCATTAACAAGTACAGCACCACCATCCGTAGAGTCTTCATCAACAACTCCCTCTTCTTCTTCTTCATTCACTACTTCTTCTTCTTCATGTTGTTCCTCTTCATGCTTATCAATCTCTTCATGACCATTTTCTTCTGCTACCTGCACAGAGTACAATTTAACAATTCAACTGACGAAACCGTCATCCGGACCCCTATTGCTCCAGGAAAACTTACCTCGTGATCGATGTCTCCATTTTCAAGTGATTCTTCTGCTTCAACTTGCATGTTCCTGAAGGCTTCCACGAGGGTACTGGAAGATTTATCGGCGTGGCTTGGATAATTTTCTGCAGCAGTATAAACTCCCCTGTAGATAAACAAGAGTCAATTTCTTGGTTTGACAAGACCAATGATACTCGTTGGGTAAACATGTGAAATAATGAGTAGCTCATGAAGGAAGTTTTCCTATGGGCATTCTCATCAAATCAGAACAATCGAAGGTAGCTATACATATATAATATAACTAAGGACCTGCAGCTTAAAGCAAAAAAGACCTTTGAGAAAAATAAACATTAGCAAATAAGATATGCTAGGATTACCTCGCCTTTACAGCATTCGCTTCAACAGAAAGAGCAACTTGCCAATCCTCAAAAAGATTCGGGTACTCCTCAGGATCAGCCAAAGATTCTGCAGCTTTTGAATTTACCTGTTGACAAGTCAAAGGCAACTTAAAATCCATACAATATATTATTCATTGACCAAGCTCAACAAAAAAAGATGAGAAATAACCTTGCTGAGATCTTCCCTCCAAAGAGCTACTATCTCCGAAACTTTGCTTGGAAGATAAGAACGTGCCATCAGAGCAGCTTCTGGTATCCGGTTGCTGGAAAATAGAAAATATTGTCACAGAGATAATAAAAGGCACATGAATTAGAATTTTTTTCAAAGTGCAAGTGAACAAAAATGGAATACCTCTCCACCAGTAACTGCAGACAATCTTCCAATCTACCCAGCATGAATAAGCTAAGAAAGGCGACATTGTTCTTTCCCTGCTCCTTAGCAAGGCATGCAAGGTTTGACACCCCTTCAGCATCTCCCAGAGAAGAATAAAGTAGTAACAAACCACTCAAATCCATAGCGTACTTCATGCAATCCTCCGCCAATTGCAGCTATCATGATGGAGCACACACAAATGCAACAAAATCACTTAGATAGTAGGGTATCAGAGATGAATCCACGAATCAGAAGAAAACTAATTGACATTATAAGATCTAAATATAACAACTTTCTGTTTTTAGTACAATGTATTTTAGTTAATCGACTGATATAACATCTACACAGAGAGTTATTTTCTTATTACCATTAGAAAACCTTAGGGAAAAAAAAAATTCAAGAGAAGATGTACCTTCCCAGAGGACATGGCTAACTCTCCTAACTGCCTCCATTTAGACTCGCTCTGCACTTCCTCAGCGATTTCCTACAAGCATGGAAAACACAGTTAAGAAACAAATTACTATTCAAAAAAAAAGAAGGTTAAAGTCCTTCTTCAACAACCAATCATCACATATAATATTACCTTTGCAATTTCAAGTCTACCCAATTGTATGGCTAACTCAAATCTGTAGTCAGGATCTGTCGCAATTTCTAAAGCTTCTTCAATCTTTCCCCGAGACTCCAAGAAATGAGCAACACTAACGATTGGAAGCATTTTCAAGGAAAAAAATTAAGAGAGGGATACTTAAAATAGTGAATAACCAATAGGGAGGAGGGATTTTATGTAGATTATCAAGCTGAGTGAATCCTCAAAAACATCTCAAAGAAAACCTGATAACAATATTCTTCGTATATTGGAAACAAAAAACACTTTGGAAAATTTCAAAAATAACATCACATAGGACATAGGAGGCAGCAGGATATAAGGTGCAGTAAAGAATAAATCTGTAAATGTAGAAACTTAGACCAAAATAACCTATAACGTACTTGTTATGCTGCTCTTTAGGAATTGTAGGCAAAATTTCATTGGCTTTATCCAAATCACCTCGCATCACAAGAGTCTTGTATTCGATAAGGCTAAGCAGTAGGGTATATCCTATGACACTGCATTCCCACGAAAAGGTGAAATACGTCAGCAAATTCTGACTGCATTATAAAAGAGTCTGAAACACAGAAATAAGGAACGTACTTAAATTCTTTGTCTACCAAGTAGACCCGGCTTTGATTGGCAATATAGCCTAACAAATACATTGGACGGTCCAAATGATACATTGTGGTTACCTGCGATAAGTAAATTAGCAGCTAAGATATAGTCTATTTGATAAACATGACTAAATCTAAGAGAAATGAAAACACATGCAAAGTACCTCGCCTCCAACACAATAGTTAAGCTTCCAAGAAGCGTTGTTGTAAATGAAGCAGTCCCCAACCCATATACCTGTCCTAACACGTTCATCGTTCTCATGGATAACCTCAAAAGCATCCTCAACACCTTCTTCATCAGTTGGTCTTCCACTATCAAAATGTGAGGAAACCAAGTCACGCTGTAACAGAGCGGAATACCAGAGTAAGGATTTAGACAATCCACGAAAGTGGAAATGTAAATATATTGCTGAAGATTTTGAGATTGAGCGGGATTCTCACATTGTACTTCAAGATGTAGAATGACGTATCACTAGCAATAGCTACTAAATCACCACTTTCAGCCCAATAAAGATTCTGCGTAATTTTCAGGGGAGCACTAAAGAGTTAGAAAAGACACAAACGGGGACAACTTCCAACTGAAAATTAAATTTAAAGAGAGAACTGAAAAAAAAAGGATGAAAGTTAAATTACACAACAGAGACAAGTCAACCTGTGAATACCTTTACTGTGACATCAATTTGTTGAATCAGCCTACATTCAGCCCAATCATAAAAGCAGATGAAATCATTTGAACACATTGCTAACAACGTTCCTCCAAAAATCTTCTCAGCTGAGAAAGTAGGCCGTATACTCTTTCTTTCCTGAAAACACCACCTTAATTAATACACCAGACCACCAATAGCTGTCTCCATTGCAAGCATCAGCAATTTATTTAACCCTAGAAGCACTCTCAAATAAAAGGAATTGGAAAGGCCACAATGAGCATAGCAAACCTGGAAATTTTTACTGAATATCTTTATCTTTGACGAGCTTTCTCTAACTGCACATTCCCCCTCGGACGACCAAACAAATTCCAGTCCAGAACCGAATGATCTATTTCTCCAAGCCAAAGCTGTGTAGATTATGTACTCCCCATCACCGCAGACTACGACAAACCTCCCGTTAGGGTTGTGCTTCAAACTCTGTGAGATAGAATGAATATATATTTATGAGAGACAAGAGATGATTATTCTCAACCATACTCTTGAGACTTCGTATGAAACACAACTTAATTTATCATCAATTATCGCCTAGTTTCAAATTCATATTGTATCAAAGAACCACTGAAACATCATATTTAGCTGAAGCATGGCTCTAGTGATACCCACAACTTCAACACACTTCCATAACACCCATTAAAGTGGGACATGCAGCAGAAATGTATTCCCCGATAATAATTCAGCACAACATGACAAATTTCAGACGATGCATAGTAACACTCACTTGTGGATAAAGATCACAGGTCCCCAGCTCTTTAACAGCCAAGGGAAGTCTTTCTCCATCAGTAACCTAGGTAAAGAGATGTAAGCTTAAAATCATCAGACAATACAAATTAGTCGCACAGGTAGGGCCATGCTATCATACAATAGTTTTAGTTAGAAGCTAGACCTCGTAACCCGCACCAATACTTTTGATATTTGCAGTTTGAATTTCGTTATGCTTGGCCCATATAATT